AAGTCAGTTTCTTATCAAATGAGTTCAAATTTGGGAGGCCAATCAGGACACAATTTGGAATCGTTTAAAAATTGTGGTTCAAAAATTTCAAATTTTGCGCATCAGTCTAGTGGACACCCTTTAAATGAAGGAATCAGTAGAGGATAATAGCATCGCGAACAGGTTTGTTAATTGATAACCGTCGATAACGTCTGCAATAGTAATTTTCATTTCCAATTGCAGACGTTATCGACGGTTATCTATTAACAACCCTGATCACGAATGAATGCCCTCCGACGGACATAATTGATTGTTTATCTAAACAGAAAGTGCAATTGATTTACGACTCAATGCACCGCGCACCGATCGATTCCAGAAAACAATCGCATTAGTCCGTTTCCCGATCCGTGATCATTTCCACGAATCGTTCGATTATCAACAACAACAACCCACCACATACCGCGTATCGGCTTGCGGCGCATAATAGGTGAGAGTTTTCCAGAACCGCTCAGCACAACTGTCAAATATATCAATAAACAAACACTTAATCCACCATTTACTGCATACACACATCAACCGCCCTTCCCAAGCCGAACAACCGTCTGCACCAGCCAGTGCAGACCCAGAGTCGCGATCCGAAGCCGACCATTCGTATCGGCTCGCGGCTTTGATCGTGGCCGCACCTCAATTAATCGATATCACGTTCTGGCACGCCCGACCGCCAGCACCCTCCGTTCTTTGGAGTATTACCTCATCACTCAGCCTCGTTTCTCACCCCTTGCTCCCCCGCAGCCAATCGAACAGATGCAAATTTTCCGCGTAAATTCGGGCCAAATTTGCGCCGCACCGTTTTCAAACACATACACACACCCCTTATCGGAAATTTATGCACTTTTTTCCGCCTTGATCCCGATTGTGTGTATTACTGCTGTGCCTCGTAGCAGCGCTCGTTCGAGACAGAAAGGCGCAGCAAATGGCGGCACGCGGCAACAACAACACAAATTTGCACCCCCTACTCTTCCTCCCTCTCTCGCTAACCCTTCCACGCAGCGACCCGACTAATGGCCGGCATGGTAATCATTCCGGCATGTTTACAGATATTCACCAGACAAAATTCATTCGCGGAATCATTCAACATCAAACAGAAATAAATTACGCTCTTTATTAGCCGCTCGCTGGGGGATCGCCTTTTTGCGCGACGGTGGCGGCGACGGCGGCGGCAGTGGCTGCGATCGGCCTACCTCAAGGGGACGCGTGGTGGGACCTGTCTGAGTGGATCGATATTGATTATTTGTGCGCGCGAGATTTTCGGAACCCTTGTTGCCGAGAGCCCCTTGCCCACCACATGGTGCACTACACCAACATGACCCAATGCTGTGCTGTGTGGACCGAATACGAATCTCCGATGTTGATGTTGCGCGGAACACAAGCGTGGATCAATTCACACCTAAATCGCGAAACAAATAATCGTGTAAACACTACTGCGCCTGCGGTGGGACTTTGGACTGGATTGTGGAGGTTCTCGGTGGGTGGTGATGGGCAGCAGCACCGCAAAGTAGCTTCGATCTAACATAAACAAGCAAACAACTTGCTTGCGATGGCAAAACATCACGGGAGCGAAAGTGTTTTGAGCAGTTTTTTCCTGGTTCTCAGAATGGGAATACGTCGTTCGAAATTTTGCGTGTCCTAACCGTGGATTGAATCGAAGCAAGAGGGGTTGATTTTGTATGTCAAGGCCCAGAATCTTGAGTGAAGGTTCAAACGTAAAAGTTGGTGAAACTTTCATTTGAAAAAAAAATGCTTTCCTTTTGAAATCAAAGGGTAGTGAAGAAGAGATACTTGATTTTTTTCAATATCTCAACCATAAATGTGTAAAAATGTGTAAATTCAATCTTGTTGCCTGTCGCATCAAAGAGTTGTTGCTAAGACCCAGACAGACCCAGATAATTCAATTGCCATAGCAGTTGAAGAAAATTTGTTTTAGTGAAGTTTAAACCGGTTTCCTGGAATTCGGAAAAGCGGACCAAGAAGCCATAAATAAACCTGATCCCTTATTCAGAGTCATACTCAGGTTTTTTTATTAAGTGGCAAACTCTCCGTTTTGCACCCCCTGCCTCTTTCCCTCGTCACGTTCCATAAAGGTAGAGAAAAAATATCGTGCTTTGTTTTTATTTTTTGACGTAGGATTACGTCTTTTGGCAACACATTGGGGGTGCAATTTCAAAAATCCAAAATCGTCGCAATCGCGTTACGAAAATTGGTCAGGTTTTGACCACTTATAACTCTGTCATTAGCGGATGGATTTTAATTCAAAACTAGTCATTCGATTTGAAATTTTTCTATGAATCTGCTAAAAAACTATCCATTTAAAATAGCACACTATTGAAAATTATACAAATGTCCAACAGTTGCAATGGTGATCAAAATTATCACCGATGGCCTCCAAAAATTGCTTTCTGTAACACAGATTTTTAAATTGAATTCCATCCGGTCCATCCGAACGGTGCTTATTCAATAACTATGAGTGTTCTCTAGTACACAACGAAAGACTGTCTGCAAGCAGCGAGCTGCAGCCCACATAAGCGTCCATTCACCGAGGAAGGAGGAAGGAACCGCACCGCTACTGATCGGATTGAGTAGCTCTTCGTGAGTAGCTGTGGGCCATATATGCCAAGCGCGTCACCCTCGTTCCAATCAACATACAGCTCGCCAGCCTAATCAGTGTTGAACACCCTCAGCTCAGTATTACTCAACCATCATGACAAACCGGTTTTTTTTCCGGTCCACCATAAATTTATTAAAGAGTACTTCCTGGATATTTGTCAAGGTCATCAATCGGATGTCACATCCCATAAGTTTCAATCTAACATACCATATATTTTAAGACAACATTGGGGTGCAATTTCAAAAGCCAAAGTCCGTTGCGGCATGAAAGTGGTCTGATTTTGATCCAGAGATCATGAATTTAAAATCTTAATACACCAATCGATAGGAAATGTTTTTGGACTCGTTGGGTACGGGTATGAGTTGAGTTTTGCGTATACAAACCCGTTCCTGATCATCTGCAGGTCAATGAACACATATACTTATTTGTAAGGTTTCCGTTTTTGTGAAGGCATTGTTGTGTGTTGTTTTTTTTTTGAAGAGATTTGGCAAAAAGATGCTCAAACTCATTACTATCTTTATTGGATAAGATGCAAGAAATACCCGAATCCGACTATTCCACGTTTTTTTGATACCCATACCCGACTCGGACCCGAACATTTATTTATTTGGTCAAAATACCCGTATACTCAATAGGCTAGTTAATCCTGGATGATTATAGTTACTGGAAAATCCACATTAGAAAATAGTTGCGAAACTGTTGATTATGATGATGATGATGATGCTGATGCTGATAGTGGACTACCACTCATTGTAGCACGGAAACTAGACAGAGAGCTGTGAGTTCTCCTCTCTGTTGAACTTGATCAAGCTGAATAACCTCTGATTGTAATTAACAAATCGCTGTTTGAAGGGTAAAAAACGAATGGATGGATTGATAGTCAATTTACCAATTCATTTCCTTGTGACAATTAAGAATCTCCTTTAAATAACCTGATCAGCCAATTGGTCAGAAAACGAGCCATCCAACAGGAAGATACATCAATGAATGGGGGACAATAGCTAGTCCTTTATCCACGAAATGTTAGCAACAGGGAGTTGACATCTTTACTATCCCCATCCAAATCGCTTCAATTGGGTGCCTCATCCAGATTTTTTTTGATATATAGTAATATGTAATAATAATACGAATAATACGATAATCAAAAGCATAACGTCTACCAAAATATGCGAGTCGATTGAAATCTGCCAAAAATAAATCAGGGCTAAGTTGATTCTTAACATACAATCGTAGATGCATAGGTGAAGGATAAGAGAAAGGAGAGTCAAAGGTGTTGAAATGCAGAATCTCGAAGTTATCGAGATTGAATGTTGAATTACATGTTTAGATATCGTTGATCCAGTTACCTATCATATAAATTAGCATTTCATCTAGTTATTGATTATTGTCAATAATACTTAAATTTCGATGAAGATGATGCTACCTATTTTACCTATTATGTGATACCAATCATCACAGAAGCCAACCTTGAATCGTAGACCAGGTCCATTAACAATACGCTCGTTCCGAAAAGGGGCTATATGGTACCACTCATCTTGTATAGTCATATTCTTCTTCAGATTCGCTCGCCACCCGGAATGAACGCTCGGTGCGGTTAGCAATATCAAATAGCGTTACATGGAAACGACAAAGACCAGGATTAGTTTTTTAAAGTAATAGTTTCATTAGAATATCCAACTAACCATATCGTATCTCAGAGACATTGTATTACTCGGAACCTACATTTAACGTTATTTTGTGATTAAGTAGTTACTTGGATACTCATAAAAAAGGTTGTTCAAGTACCACAAGTTCCATAACGCCCAACTATGGACAGCTAAATGTTTATCCCATTTATTCTTTGAATTAGTGAACACCAACATGATTATCTGCTACGAAACACAAAAAAACATATATATACTTTATAAACAACCAACCCACCGCCCCTGCACGGTAATGTGGGCCAGAATTTTTTATCGGTTACGAAGTGAAGTACTTCTCAAACTGAACCGATACGTTTCTCAATGTTTCAACTTTATCCTAACGTAAACCTAATATTATCACCCATATGCCCGTCCACACCCAAAACCCATCCCCCACATAAAATCAAAAAAAAAAGTTTTCTGTATGGCAAACACGCCCGGACATAAACGAGAATATAGGTATACATCTTCACTAGCGGTAACTACGGGTAATCATCGAAAGTACTTGCATTTTATCCCACATAATAGTAAGCAAATATTACATCTCCCGGTTGGGTGTATCATTTTTAAATTAATTAAAAATGATACTAACCACCGTGACGTACATCTACATATTGTACCTACCAGCCAACAACATCACTAACACAAGTCCACTCTTTTCTTCTACTTTCCAGAAAGCCATATAGACGACCGGTTCAAACACCACCACCGCTTCCGATTGATGTTCAACGTGACCAACATCCCACGAAGCGAGAAGCTGCGGGCAGCCGAACTCACTCTGAATCGTGATGCCATCGAAGATCGTCGGGCGCGATCCGTCCTGCATCAGATCCTGGTGTACGATATAATTCGACCGGGCGTGAAAGGCAAACGGGCACCCTCCTTTCTGCTGATCGACTCCAAATCGGTCAAGATCAACGAGACCGGCTCGGTGAGCGTGGACGTCCTGCCAGCCGTTGAACGGTGGCTGCGATCACCCAAGCAGAACTATGGGCTCTTCATCCAGGTCACCAGCAAGAGCAAGCGGAAACCACAGTCCACGCCGGAACACCAGCACGTACGGCTACGACGAAGTATAGACGAAAGCCACGACAAGTGGTCCCACAAGCAGCCACTGCTCTTCACCTACACCGATGACGGTCGACATAAACAGCGACCCATTCGGGATGCAATCAGCAACGCCAACCGAGCGCGGCGAGCACCAATGCGAAATCGCCGGCGAAAGAATGGAAGCGAAACCTGCCAGAGGAGGCCCCTCTACGTGGACTTTAGTGACGTCGGATGGAGCGATTGGATTGTGGCTCCTCCGGGATACGAAGCGTACTATTGTCATGGCGATTGTCAGTTCCCAATAGCTGACCATCTCAACACGACGAATCACGCAATCGTGCAAACATTGGTCAACTCGATCAATCCCAACCTGGCACCGAAGGCGTGCTGCGTGCCGACACAGCTCTCGTCCATCTCGATGCTCTACCTGAACGAGCAGAACAAGGTCGTCCTAAAGAACTACCAGGACATGACCGTAGTTGGTTGCGGATGCCGTTGAACCACAACCTCACATTGTAAATTTCACACACACACACACACACACATTGTATTATAGCAGAGTATCCTCTTAAAGAAGATACTGACGAGTATAGGAGAAGAAAACTATGTAGATTCGATGTTGAACCGGCCGGGCCGTAGCTTACACAACTCAACCTTCTTATCTAATGTCATGTAAATTTTTAATCCGTAAGCGAACAAAGGTTAGGGAGCTCCGATTGAACGAAATGATACAAGAGTGAATAGGAATTTGTGCGCCAACGAACGAACGAATGAAATGCATGCGAGCTTTGATTGGGAATAAGTGTTATAATCTAAGCCCTAGGAAACAACCCCAGTGTCGATGAAAACATACACAAATTGTACAAACAAAAAAGCACGAATCACATGTCCATTGCGAATGCAAGCTTGAATGTGCGACACGACGATGAAGTTGATGGGAGAAACAAAGCTCCATGATGCAACCAAGGCACCTCGTAAGCAAGAACGCAAGCGGCTTAGCAAGGAAACCTGTTTTGTAAATATATCTAATTTAAAACCGCTAGCTAATATATATATATTTAACTACGACCCAAGCTACCACTCTGTATAAATGAAATGCTACTCCGCGCGACACACGCACACGGATCACAGTCGCACTCACTCTGTAAAGCAGCTCGGATAGGATTGTATACTTACTTTTATTTCCAGGAGCAGTAGTGCGGAAGATTGTTTTATAATGTAGACGAACAATATTTGTTGGAGCATTATGTTTTATTTATTTAGTACGGTTAGACAGAGGGCATATCTAAGAATGTTGTTTTAACTGTTTCGGAGTTCAATAGGAAGTCATTTTCGTTGTAAAAAGAAGCGTGAACAAAGAGGAATGGTTGAGCACCCCCTTGAGAATGTAGTAACTGTACTCTCCTCATGCTATACAATGCTATTGTTTATCCCTTTCTTGTAAATTTGTGTAATATACTAGTACCTGTATTTGAGGAAAAGTATTTATTAAATAAATCGTCGAAAATTGAGCGAGGAATAAAATTTGTAAAAGCAGTATTTCAAATTGTTGCGTTGATTTCTATTTATTATCCTGATGAATCCCTGATTGTCTTGTTTCGAAATAGTTGCCATGCGCATACCAAATCCATAAATGTCGGGTCTAAATTATCGTTACGATGAACGATATATCTAAATTTAATCCATCCCTCTATCTCCATTTTTTTACGAGGTGAACCAGCCTACGGCTAAAAGTCTGGATACTAAAGAAAACTAAACTAAACTTCAACTCATTGTAAGAATATCGTAATATGCTCCGAATACATGCTGGTTTGATAATCAGGACATTTAATTTTTAATTACATATTACGTGTACTTTGCTGCATAATAAATATGCGTAATCATTCTGAACCATACTATAAGGCCATGATAAAATGTGATATTTTTAACCAACAATGGGCCTTAAATAGCCTAGTTGGTGAAGGGGTCATGCAATAATTACGTTAGCACTTTTATGGGATTTCCAAAACCTCCCTTCCATCATTGTAAGACTAAGTAATATTTAACAAAACCCGCCATAGGGGGACCTCTTTCTAAGATCTTGCAAGGTTTATTTGAATGGTTTGTACATGATTTGTTAATGCTTACGTAAGGTATTTCTGAGACCCCCTCCCTGCCATGATAGAAAACATATGAAATTTTCTAACAATCCCTTCCCCCCAGTGCTAACGATTTTATTGAGGCACGGTTTTACCAAGTTATATTGGTTGGCATAGAAAGCTGTTACTTAAAAACTATGCAAATGTATCTAGAACACTGATGTTTTTTTCGTTTATTCCTAGTGCGCACCTAGTTCCACCCTAAGAGCTATCAAAACGTTCTTATTTTCGTTATATTTACTTATGACAGACATGATTTAAGCATAGAGGTAAGTCTAAGACCAGAAGGTCCCGAAGAAAATAGCTCAACTTTTTGGCTCAGCTCTGGTACTATCTTCGGTCCCAAGCTAATCGATTCACCCCTCGAAACATAAGAAAATCCACTAACCCCTCATTTTATCTGTCAAACTGTGTAGTACTGGAATTTATACTAGAATGGGGCACGTTAGTCGATTTGCTTTGGACCAATAGGCTAGTCAAGTAGTGAGCCTATTTAAAATCGTTAGTTTCGTATTGATTGTTGATTGTAGTACCGTTGTACATCTTTAATCTAGTACCTCGATCGTGGTACTGGATTAAAGAAGTACAACGGTACTACAATCATGTCTGTCGATGGTATTAGGGTCGGACCTAGATCCGCCCTGGGTCCGTCTCAAACTCGACGTGGTTTGCTTTGTCGAACACAAACACAGCTGTCAAAATCAAATTGTGAACAATTTTGACATTGTTCACTAATGAAAATAAAAGGTTTGAAAATCGAAGAAGTGTGGAATAAAATGATGAATGTACAGACATTTAAGTAAACTGCGGATTTAAGTAAACTGGAGATAAAATGAGGGGTTCGTGGATTTTCCTATGTTTCGAGGGGTTCATCGATTAGCTTGGAACCGAAGAGAGCACCAGAGCTGAGCCAAAAAGTTGAGCACGTTTCTTCGGGACCTTCTAGTCTTAGAGTTACCTCTATGATCATACTGACTCGACCCAGGAGCCATTTTCGTTCGTTTAATGAAAGTCGACTCTGACCCAGATTTAAAACCGAAAACGACATACGTTGAGAGCCCTTAAACGTTCGTATAAGAAGCGTAAAAATCATAGAATAAGAAAATAGCATTAATAACACTAGTTTACAAATAAAAGTTAAAAAAATAACTTCAATGCTTGGCCTTTGATTCTTATGTAAAATCGTGCGCTGAATCCAAAAACGCTGTCAGAAAAATTCTCAGTATGATAGCTCTCTAGATACAGTTAAAAAATGAAATTTCACTAAAAAAAAGTGTGTTCACTAAAACACAAATAGGGGAAAAGTTCTCTTCGGCAATACCTTAACCTATTATCGTCAGGGGGGTAAACAACGTCCTTGAGAGCTCAATTTTGGCATGTGGATACATTGTGTTTCAGAGCAACTATTGGCCAAATTTGAGTGCTCTAGGATTTTGTTTACCCCCCTGACGATAATAGGTTAAGGTATTGCCGAAGAGAACTTTTCCCCTACATCCGGTTTGTAATGTAGCTACAAAATTAAAGATAATAAAATTTTATTTCGATCAGCTGAATATCATTGTGGTATTGTTGTTGATTAATAGTATGTTATTTTTTTTTTTAATGTTTTGCATATTTCCAACAAAGTTTCCCACACAAACGCGAACCATAAATTAACCTTACCAAAAATGGTTAAAAATTGTTTATAATCCCTGTTAAATTTTAACTGAAATGGCTATGGAACTTTACAAGAACGTTTGTCTACCTTATGTATTATGGTGTGGACCTTACAAATAATGGGTAGTTAAAAACCATTGCCATTCCAAATTCTTGTTTTCTCCATACATTTTCGGAAAGAGAACTATATTAGAACCTTTTACTTATGGCTTGAGAACTTGAATGTTAATGGTTATGGTAGTCAGTAAGGTCCATGAATGGTTTTGTATCATCGATCAACTTTAGGTGCAATATATCGCTTTCCATACCCATTTCAGTTAAAGTTTAGGAGGGATTATAAATAATTTATAACCATTATCGGTATGGTCAAGTGATGGTGCGCGTTTATGCGGGTTTTAAGCAAGATAAATACCCATAGCTACGCCAATGCACAGTGGTTTGAATGCTCAATATCACGAACTTTTTTATTTGCGCCTTCAATGTCGGTTTTTTCACTATGATGTCTTTATAAGAGTTTTTGTATAAAATAAGGCGCAAAGACTAGTGATAGGTTTTAGTTCGGAACTCCACCACAGGCAGCGCTGCAAAATCTAACTTTTTACATTTACAAGATAGGTATGTGGTGTCTTGAGCAAAGTTGTAGATAATTTTACTACGAAAAGCTTTGCCTACAACACAAATCCTCTATATTCCTTAGTTTTCGAGATACGTAAGGTTTTATATGACTGTTCGACAAATTTTATTTTTTTTTTTTCAGTTTTTATAACATATTTAAAAACTATAGGTTATAGAAGACTATAATGTTCAACAAATATTTGTATTTTATTACAATACAAAACTTTGTTCAAGACGTCCAAAAGATATCGATTACACAGGCTGAGTTATTCACAAATTTAGTAAAAAAAAATTACATATTTTGTGCCATCACAGACAAAAATCCGGCAAAATCCGGCAAAATCCGGCAGGTGAATCTTGAATAGGATGAAAGCTTGTTCATCCAAATATGTTTGTTACATCCATTGTGCCAATCAAATTGGAATCAATTTGGAACATTTTCTGATCCTCTCATCAGCAGCCTTAGAGCATCTCGAGACAAGCCGATTAATGACCTCTGTAGCGATGCTAAATACATGCTTGATGTGGAAGAGAAGGATGAAAATGTTCTTAATAACAATATTGTGTAACCTTTGTTTATATTTTTGAAATATTTATATATACATACATACAACGATGTATAACGTAATACGTTAAATCTTTTAATTATAATATAATAATAGCTAACTCAAAATTATATATTACTTTCAAGTAGACTACTGTGATTTATGATTATGGCAATTACTCTGATGTCCGTGGTCAAGACCTTTTTGAAATACAAAACAATCAACGAGGATACTAAAAGGGACAAATGTTTCAATAGAATTTGAGATCACTTTTGAACAAGCTTTCATCTTATTCAAGATTCACCTGCCGGATTTTGCCGGATTTTTGACTGTGAGGGCACAAAATATGTAGATTTTTTTACTAAATTTGTGAATAACTCAGTCTGTGTAATCGATACCTTTTGGACGTTTTGAACAAAGTTTTGTATTGTGATTAAATACAAATATTTGTAGAACATAAAACCTATAGTTTTTAAAATATGTTATAAAAACTGAAAAAAAATAAATTCTGTTGAACAGTCATATTAAACGCTACGTATCTCAAAAACTAAGGAATACAGAGTATGTGTGTGTTCAACAAAGATTTTTGTAGTAAAATTATCTACAACTTTGCTCAAGACACCACATACCTATCTTGTAAATGTAAAAAGTTAGGTTTGCAGCGCCACCTGTGGTGGAGTTCCGAACTAAAATCTATCACTAATCTTTGCGCCTTATTTTATGCAAAAACTCTTATAAAGACATCATAGTGAAAAAACCGACATTGAAGGCGCAAATAAAAAAGTTCGTGATATTGAGCATTCAAACCACTGTGCATTGGCGTAGCTATGGGAGTGGAATTTTAGGTGTACGAGAAATGGATGTAATGTTGGTCTAAATGCTCCTAATTTGGGCCCATACATAAGTTCAGCAATCGACAAATTTTTCAATAGCGTCCTAAAATATCCATTAGTACCGTCCCAATGACACGTTCATCCAGATAAAATTGATAACTAGCAGATTATTAGCAATGGGCCCAATCTTAGATCCATAGGCCAACATTAGAGCCATTTCCCCTATGTCTCCTTTTTTTATTGTTCTAGACTAGAAGAAACAGTGTCGAGAATTTATATTACATCAACATTTAATCGATAACATAATAAGACGTCTTTAAGCTCTACAAATTGACCAAGAGTTCAGGATTCTTTTTTGACCTCATGGAACTTCGTAAAAATTAACGTAGTAAAAACTTAGTAGAAATTCTGGAAACTTCATTGAGCTTCAGGGGAATTCGTAAAAACTCAGGGAGCTTTGGAAATGTTCAGAAAACTGCGTAGAAGTGAGAACTCTATTTTAGTTTTGGAATCTTCGTAGAAGTTTTTTTTCCTTGATTTTTTTCCGTCGATCTTGTTTTCCGTGCTGAGCACCAATGCTACCGATGCCAGGGAGGCAGCTGCCACACCTGGACCCTACCTATCGACCCATTAACTCATGAACCGGGGACCAACGGCTTTTCTTCCCTTCCGAAGGAAGGCTTGATCAGAGATGCTATGCCTCACAACATCCCGGCGGCGCCAACTGGGATTGAACCAAGAATTGCACCAGCTGTTGGG